ATCAATGATGGAGGAAGATGCTTCGGTGGTACGGCGTCGGTGATCAAGAGAAGGTGGAGTTGACGCTGCTGCCGTGTGCGAAGGCAAGGGAGCAGGGTGCTGCTGGCTTTCTCGGCGTGAAGAAGCAGAGGTGGTGATGATGCTGCCGAAGAAGGAGGGCTGCGTGGAGGATAGAGACGAGGTGGAGAAGGAGGCTGCCGGTGAAGGAGGAGAAGGGCTGGTGTGGTGGTTATGGAAGCAAAGCGGCGGTGAAGATGGTGGCCGGCTGCTTCGCGTGGATGATGGAGGAAGAAGGTGATGGCCGGCTGAAAGAGGAGGGAGTTCGGTGGTTTTCGGTCAAGTTTCGGTTCAGTTCTGTTGTAAAAATAAATCCCTAATCCCTTTTTTATAGGCTTCCGGCTAAACCCTACTCCTTGAAGAACAAGAAAACTTATTTCCCAATTAATATCGGGATTAAAATTCTTATCCAATTCCAATCCGAAATCAGCCGTATCATCAACGTAACCTTCGGCCAATTTTCCAAAAATTAGAATCAAATTGCAAAATTGCATGATTGGCCCTCCAATTCTCTAAACTCATTAATTTCTTCCCCATCAATTGCTCCAATGTTCAATTCTTTCCCATTGAGTTGCTTTTAATTCGATTTTAGCTCAAAACTTCAACAATTCTTCATTTGAGTCCAATTCCTACAATTAAAGATAAAATCACATAAATAGCATATTTGTACTCAAAATATATTGCAAAAATCACAAATTAGGGATATAATAAATAGGTAAAATATAAGCATATCAGTATTGTTCCTTGGAAGGATTGGTTCACTCTATGTTTGTTTGGTTTATGCGAACTCGTTCTCAACGCCAACTAGAAGTTGGATTGCATTTTGAATTGGAGAGAGTTGTGACATAAATTAGAAGAACAAGAAAAGAAGTTGAAACTTACCTCCTGGCAGATCAAGGTGAAAATCATTAGCAATAAGGTGGTCAACATCTACCCCCACCAAGGCCTAGAGTATTTGGGCTAAGGTTTGATAATGTGCAGGGATCTGGGGGCATGGAAGGTGTCGAGTTATCAAATTCCTCCTCAAAAAATTAACCTCATTCTAAATAGGGCTATTTTTCAAGGTTATGATCATGAGCACCCTAACTCTCATATCAAAATATTCCTCACTTTGAGCAATAGTCACCGGTGGTACCTCAAGATTTGATAAGGAGGATCTTGTTCCCATTCTCTTTGAATGGATAAGTTCAATCTTGGTTTGATTCTATCTTGGGCTTCAATATTGGAATTTTTGAAGAATCGAGAAAAAAGTATTTTCTTAACTACCACACTCCATAAAAAAATAGAGAAACATCATATGGATGTTCTTCAATTTCAACAATATGATGGCAAAGCATTCTCTGAGGCATGGGATAGATTCCAAGAGCTGTTGCAAAAATGTCGTAATCATGGGTTGAAAGGTAGTCGAGATTTGAAAGTTTTTTACAAGGGACTCCCTAATGAATCCATCAGTATAGTTAATGCAACACTTAAGTGAGTGGCATTTATATTCGCCTGAGTGGTCTGCTGCTCTGCAAAACTTGTAATCTTAGCTCTCTATTTGTTCTCTCTTGCTTGTCATCATGTTTTATGCTCAGATCGACATGGATATTTTGGTTTAAAATACTGATTATGAGTAGCTAAGTCGTTTGCTAGCGTTGAATCCCTCTTTCTACATGAAAATATTAATCTTGTGTGTAGTCTGATCAACTAGGCACTTGTGCATGCATACTGCGAGAATCTTGGAAGGGTGAACTTAGTTTAGAACGACTAAGAATTGGCCAGTGACTTAGAAGTAATAGTCTTAGGTTTCACTAGGATCGGAGGATACCTAGTCGGCATGAGGCAATCAATAAGACTCTAGCTTTTAATGGCGTGATAAGACTTAAATACTTTACTCACAAGAGAGCTTGTTAGTCACTGGAGATACTCCTTTAAGAACATCGATAGAGACTTAGGGTATATTAGCATCTAATGGAATACCCTTCGTACCACATGGATGCATAATCACCGTAGAAGTAACATAGGAAGAGAGGAGGATCCCCAAGCTCTTCTACTTTGTCTATTTCCCTATTTTCTTGCCTAAGCTACTGCCATTCATGCTCTGTCTACTCATATTTATTTTGTTGCTCCTTTTTCACTTGTTCTATACTGTAATATTATGAGGAAGACCATCACTCACGTAAGTGCTGATAACACTTGCATGAGTGGCCATCTCAACCCGTTCCCTTGTTTGATTTTGGTTTGGTTTTCCAGTATTCTAAGCGGTTCTTAGACAGTCACGTCCGTCCCTATGGATTTGACCTGACTTACTAACTAGCTACTAGTTTTGAGTTGGTTTTTCTTTCAGCTAATTTGACGACAGTCGTCCGACCACCTATCGATTACGTTAACAATTTTAATCCCTGCTTGAATTTCAATCAAAGTAGAAATTGGAGAAGCCAATGAGGTGGGTGGCGAGATAGCAATCAAGGTGGATATGCTCAAGGAAGTTCTTTTCCATATCTTAACAATTAATGGAGGCCTAAACCTTCACAGGATTTAGTGAGCCAAAATATAAAGGAAAAAAAATCATCCTTAGAGGAGACCATGTTGAAATTGACGAGCAAGTTGAATGATAGAAAAAAGGAATATCGGTAATTTTAAGAGGAGACCTCATGGAAGATTGAAAAGTTGGAAGGTGTCATTGGACATATTGATGCCACTATGAGGAGCCTTGCAGTTCAATTGAGAAACTTACTCGGTCCATACATTCTAGATTTAACGGGTCACTCTTAAGTGACACTATCCCAATCCAAAGGGGAATGAGCAATGCAAGGCATTCAGATTAAGGAGTGGAAAGCAAGTGGAGCTTCAACAGAATGTAAGTGAGGATGAGAAGGATGGAGAACTAGAGCTCCCTTTCAAAGAGTTGATGGTGTGGTTTCAGTTGATAAACACAAGTTGGTACCTATAAGAAAGTCAAAGATATTAAAAAGAATCAAGAGCTCAAGAAGGTGAAAAAGCAACTAGTCCCTTCAATTTTCCAGAGCATGTCCCACCACCTCCCTTCTCTACAACGGGCCGACTAAAGGCGACTCAAGGTAAGAATTTTGACAGATTCTTGGAAATGATTCGTAATGTGAATTTCAATATTTCCTTGGTACCCTTGAGTGTGAATTGTAGTCATCTCATTAGAGGTTGCATCTTCATCAAGATGAGAGATCCCAGTTGTTGCAGTAGTCCATGTGACATTAGTTCGAGGGATTTCTCCAAAACTTTGATAGATCAAGGGTCCGAGATAAGTCTCATGGCACTTGTTACCTCTCAATCAATAGGTCTCTAAGATAGATTGGAGCCCATCAACACTACTTTACAATTGGCGGATCACTCTATTGTTAAGCCGACATGTATCATTATCTGGTGAAGGTTGACATATTCATTCTCCCGGTAGATTTTATTGTGCATGTCATGGATGAGGATAAGGAGATTCCTATTTTACTTTTCAGAGACCCTTCATGGCTATCGGAGATGTCAATCTTGTAGTGAAACACAACACCATTACCTTCAAAGTAAATAGTGAAGATGTAACTTTTAATGGTAGAATTGCAACAAAATATCCAAAAGATATAAAGCCTTTCTTTTTTAAAGTCATTGAAAAGTTTTAGATACAGACATCATTGAAAATTCATGTTTTAATTCTTCCATTGATGGTAGTGTTCTAGATGTGAAATCTTTATGTGTTAATCCATTTGATGGTTTTGATGAAATAGATTTATCAATTGCTCATGAACTTGAAATGTTACCGAATGTTGTTCTAATAGATGAATCTATTTTGAAATTAGTAATGGGGTTGTTGAGACCATCGACACTTGTCAAGTGGTAGAGATGTCATGTAAGAGTGGAAAATTGAGACCCTTTTTGTGACTCCACCTAACCTTGGGGTGCCTTGGTTTAAAAAATGCCTAGAAAAAGGAGTAGATAGATTTTCTTTTTTTTTTTTCTGGTAAAGCAAAATACGGAGATCAGATTTACAAAATTCGATCTACTGATTAAATTAGTAAATCGGATTTTGAAAATCCGATTGAATAAAATAATATTTTTTTTTGGAAAATACAGGTGAAAAATATGAAATGAAGGTCAAGTAATGAACAGTGAAGGGTCGGATTTTAGGAATCCGATCTTCCTTATTCTTAAAAAATAAATATAGGCGGGAGATTTTTAAATTAAAAACAGTAGAGGGTTGGATTTACAAAATCTGACCTCATTTAAGAATATCTAACAGTAGATATCGAAATTGAATGGATGTTATTGGCGGGCAGAAAGTCGGATTCTTGAAATCCAAGTTGATACGTAAAACGGATTTTGGAAATCCGACCTTATTTATAAACTCGGATTTCAGAAATCCGACCTTGTTGGGTTATAATGGAACGACGAAAAACACTATTCACATATCGGGATTTTGGTAAAGGAGGCGATTTCTTGAAGGAGGAGGTGATTTTGGTGGCGATTTGAAGATTTTGTTCACGATTCTTCGCAACGGATGTCTTAAAACCATTTCACAAGAAGGTTAGTTATTGTTTTGATGTTTTTAGGATTATTGTTGTTGTTTTCTTTGTAAAAGTGTAGAACTAGGATGATTTATAAGGTTTTAGGGTTGATGCTGGGTGTAGTTGATGATTGTTGTTGTATACGTGGTATTGAACGTTCAATTTAGTAAAATGCTTGAATTTGGCCTAAACTTTTGAATTTGTAGGAGGTTTAGTAAATTTAGTGTTAATTATGCCTTGTTTGTGGTAATTGTTATAATAATTTGTTTGATAATACCTTGTTTGTGTATTTTTTTTTTTAATAATTTGTTCATAATGTGTTGTAATTCACGTAATCAACAGATATAAATGGCGTTTAACGGTCCATATTTCATTAATGTCTATTGGTCGAGCAAATTTGTGGTTAAGAATGAGATTGTGAATACTTTTAACAACATGCCTGTCGATTCCTTTGTGTTTGATCATAAGGTATTGTACAATGATTTGGTTGGATTGATTTGTGAAAGAGCGGGGTGGAATAGAGGGAATGTGAATTTGAGTCTATCGATTTTGTATAATACGATGGGCAATGGTTTTAGGCGTATCGCCAAAATAAAGGACGAGCATCTTTGCAAGTGTTGTATTTCCTCCCAAATTCGACATATATTGATTTGTATGTGGATTTGGAGCTGACAGGTACTTCTAGGTCCCATTTGGAAGTAGGGACAACTAGTGGTGGGCCGAATGTGGAGAATGTCGATTACATGGAAGATGATGATGTGGGTGGACCGAATGTGGAGGATGGCGATCACATGGAAGATAATCACGCAGAAGATGATGAGGACTACACATTGATAAGTGATCAAAGCGATGAAAACCAATCAATCTCCGAAGGAAGTCGGGAGAGTGATGAAGAGGTCGAAGACAAATTCGCCACAAAGGACAGGCACATATATCGTTCACAGGGTACATGGGATCATAAAAAGTGGACAATGATGAATTTTAACTTACCATGTGGGACGGGACAACCGCAACAACCGGGATAGGGACTTGTTTTAAGAATAAGGAAGATGCAAAAAATGGTATTGCAGCGTGGAACATAGAGCAAAAGAGAGAGTATTATGTGAAGGAAAGTGATGGTTCAACGTGGTATATTTGGTGCAAATCCCTAAAAGAGTCAACCCCTAAGGGTTATGTTCCTTGCCGTTAGAAGGTACGTGCCTCCTTGAGAGACCACGGTTTGTGGGAGATTATGAAATGGGTGCCCGAGCACAATTGTATGAATGTCACTGAGGAAAATAATAATCGGAATGTGAGCGCAACGCTTATTGCTCATCTCATAAGGCATAAGGTTGAGTTGGACCCGGATTATTAAGTGAAGCTCGTTCAAGAAGAAGTGAAAGACCGTATACATGTCGATGTTCCTTACCACAGGGCATGGGAGGGAAGGAGAAAAGCTATCGGTCTTGTTTACGGCGACTGGGTTTTCAATTTTGACATACTTCCAAGGTATTTACTTAAGTCCTATCTAATTTTTTTGTAATTTACTTTTAAAATAAGCATTAATTTTTTTTTAATATAGGTTTTTCGCCGCCCTTGAGAAGAGCAACCCCGACACAGTTGTAGAGTGAAAATGGCAACCGGGTTGGTCCGATACAGAGAGGACGTTCAAATACGTGTTTTGGGCATTCAAGCCTACAATTGATTGTTTTGCTAAATGTCCTCCGGTGATTAGTATCGACGGGACGCACTTGCGGATACAAAGGGAAATTACTTGCTACAATGGTCAAAACTCGGAATAAGCGTATCCTGCCAATTGCATATGCGATCGTGGATGAAGAGAGTGAGGAAAGTTGGTCATTCTTGAAGCATTTGAGGAATCATGTTATATCCGACCGTCTGATATGCTTATATTTTACCTATTTATTATATCCCTAATTTGTGATTTTTGCAATATATTTTGAGTACAAATATGCTATTTATATGATTTTATCTTTATTTGTAGGTTTTGTACTCAAATGGAAGAATTGTTGAGGTTTTGGACTAAATTGAAAAGAAAAAGCAACTCAAAGGGAAAATTGAAGATTTGATAAATTGACAAGGAAGAAATTGAAGCACTTGAAGAGTTGGAGGAGTTTTAATTTAAATTGGCTTGAAATAAAAATAAGTTTCTTATTCTGAAGAAATAGGATTTGAGAAAAGCCTATAAAAAAGGACTAGGGTTTTATTTTTGGAGATAGAGAAAAAAAATCCACGCCCTTTCTCCACCTTTCCTCCAACCCCACACCCCTTCACCCAAAACCCCTCTCCTCCTAGCCCATCCCTATCACCACTTCGGCATCATCACCCTCCTCTCTACCGCATCACCTCTCCTCCATCTCTCTCTCTCATCATCCCCTCCATTCTCAAGCAGCACACCACCCATCACCATCACTCCGCCGACCTCCAACTCGGACAACACCAAAACAGCACCTTCCACCTTAATCACCATCCATCACCATCATCCAAGTCTAATCACCGAACCACACACCTCACCATTTACCCCATCAGCCTTACACCAATCAAACCCTTTCTCCACGCATCAAAACAACCCCGCCGGCCTCCATCAGCAACCAGCACCATCATCATCCTTACGCATCATCATCGGAGAAGGAAGCATTGAATCAAATCCCGGACTCAACTTTTGGCCTACTTCTCCCGGGTTTTATTATTTTATTTATTTTTGAGATGATGTGTAGCTAAATTATTTAATCTAGGATTTTGGATGTAGCCGCCGTACTATTTAATTTAATTTAATTCATGATTGTGACTTTTTCATTAGTTGATATTTAATATTCTTGTTTTTATTCCATGTGAGTATTTGATCATCACTTGCATGCTTTAAAGGTGTTTAATTGAAGGAACGACGGTTGAAGGTTAGCACTAGTTCATGGGAATATTAAACTTAGATAGTGAGCCACGAAAGTAGGAACACCGTCTTTGCAGCTATAGATTCTAGGGTTCTTAATGTACCCTAATTAAATCCTATAGTCATGACAGTAGTCATAGGGTTAGTTTGAATAAGAGAATTATATCACGACAGTGAATAGTTCTTAAATAGGTGAATCGTTGTGAGATTAATGAAAGTCCAAAGTCACATATCTATAGGTTAAATTAAACTGAATAGTCGGTTGGTGAACCCTTTTCCCTAGGTTTTCTTTTATTTGATTAATTATATTTAATTATTAATTTTAGGTTTAGTTTAATTTAAAATTATTATTATTAGTTGTCTAAATAATAATAAGAAATAATTTTAACCGGTACTTGGTAACCTTCTCTGTGGGATCGACCCTGCTTTCTGCTTTACTACTAGTAATTGTATTAAGTATGTAATTAATATTTGACTAGTGTGACGACGGCTTGTCAAATTTGGCGCCGTTGCCGGTGAAGACATAGCCAATATCAAAACTAAATTATTTCTTTATTAATTTAGATTTGTATATAGTTTCTTTTGTTTTATTAATTTATTATTTTTATTTTTATTTTTATTTTTATTTTCTTTTCTTTCTTGTGTCAATATTTTTGTAGGATATTTGAGCTATTATGGAGAATTTTAACTATGGATAGGGAGAGACTCCGTATTATGGTTATGATTCTGAATATGGAGACTGTCCTACATATCAAGAAGATCCGTACTCTTGGAACAATTCGTCTTCTGATCCTTACTATGGTTGTGATTATCAAGGGTATTCATTTGATGCTGGGTACAATTATGGTTTTGAGAGCGCGTATATGAGTCCTAAGATGTTGTCATGTTTGGAGAGAATTGATAGATTGCTGGATGACATCGAGAAAAAAATGCTTCATATTTCTCTCAAGAGGATTGTTACCACTCAAATGCATCAGTATATCAACCACCACCTCCTCAATCCACTCTAAGAGAGTTAGCAGCTCGTCAACCCACACTAAGAGAGTTAGCAGCTCATCAACCTACTCTGAGAGAGCTAGCAGCCTTATAGTCATCACCTTGTCAACCCACTTTGAGACAGTTAGGATCTTCGTATCAGCAGCCACCTGCTCAACCTCAACTTAGTGTTAGAGAGGCAGCTCTTCGAGATTTTCAAAGTAAAAAAGGCCCACGACATATCAAAGAGGTCAATCAATATAGGTTGAGTGTAGGGTTGCCGGAATATGATCCTATAGGAAATTTGCTTAAATTGAATAAGAATGAGAAGATTTCTGAAGATAATTCATTGGTCCAGTCTCCCCAACCACCATCTCAAAGTGAGCTTGAATGTGAAGAATTAGAAGAGACCGAAGAGATTATAAGTCTAGATATTACAAGTTCTCCTGATTCTTCTGGTATATACATAGTAGTTAAGCTTGATTCGCTCATTCTGAGAGTTGGTGACAAGGATGTAGATCAAGTTGATTTTGATGAGAATAACATTCCTATAGTTTCAAAAGAAGGGTTTGAAGTAGACACATGTGGTGAAGTTTTCCCTAGTATAAGAGATTTTGAGGATGATGCGAAAAATGGTTCAATGAAAGACCAAGAAAAGGATAAATGGTACAAGATTGAATTTGAGAAACAGGATGTTGCATTGTTGGAGTATAAATTTATATTTTCTCATGGAAAGGAGAACCACTACAAGAGATTCATTGTTGCTGCTGAACATGGTTTATTCTGGTATCGAGATGGGTACTCTGACTGATTGGCCATGGAGTCCGGCTAAAGACCATAAAACAACGCTTATTGGGAGGCAACCCAACATTTTATTTTGTTTTATTTTATTTTATTTTTCATGAATAAGTGATGGTTGAGTTTTTTGTTCCTGATTATTTAGAAATCTTTGATTTCTAAATTTTCGTGCTTTTTCTTAATCATCTACCTGATAAAATTTACCTTTGTTTTTGTTTATGTGTGGCAGCTACCTCTAGAATAAATGGTGATGGAAAATGCTTGGATGGTTATGCAACAGATCTCTTTATTCCTCAACTTCAACAATTTTCGTCCTCCACTTCACATTTCCAAGGTTGTATCGTTTCTTTTCATTCTTTTTGTTTATGTCTTTTCTTTTCTTTTCACTTGGTTGTCTTGTCTTTTGTGTTTTATACATTGAAGGCAATGTATGCTTTAAGTGTGGGAGAGAGGAATATTGGTGTTTTGTATTGTGTTTTGTGTTTATCTTTCTTAAAAAAAAACAAAAAAAAAATGAAAAATAAAAATTGAAAAATCCAAAAAGGCCTAGGACGAGTATGGTTTAATTATCTATAACATTTAAGAATTAGACTATTTTGAATTGTATTGCTTGACTTATGTATTTCTATATGTTGCGTTGAATACCCTGCTTTTTATGCACTTAGTCGTGATTGTGGGATAAGCCTAAAGTGAGACATAGTTGCATAAATTTGATGTAGATATGCCATAAAAAGTTGTGTTTGATTTACTCATACTTATATGATATGTATGTGGAACCCATCATGTTGTTAATGAAAAGCAAGGCATTAACCCAATATCAGCCTTAAAAAAACCTTATTAGTTTGACACTTTGTGGTAAGTAAGTTTGGGAGAGGGGTGTTGGCGGATGCTTCTGAGGTTAGGTTAAATTTAATGAGGGAGAAAATGAATAGCATTCAATGTTGATGCTAGCCCATTGAGAGGTGAGGAATTGGCAACCTGAGCGGAGAGTCCTTAGGCCCGGTGAGGAAAAAGAGATATATAGACTGCCTTAAGTTGCTGAGCCACTATGTATAGTAGTGGAAAAATGCTCTGGGTAGTGGCCTGAGTTGGAAAGAGTCCTGAAGAAAAGCCGCATAGACCGAAGAATGGGTTATGAGGGAGAATAGGTTATCTGTGAGATAAGTCCTTCTACTTCATAGCATGTCTGGTGGTCCATTGCATTGAAATATGGTATGAAATGTGAATCTGTGTGAAAGTGTAAATATATGGTATATTTGCAGTAGAGCTTTTGTTTTCTATGTTAAATGTAAAGTGATGTCCCTGAGAAACGAATCGCACACACACACAAACGTGGGGGTTAAAAGTGCAGATGGTTTGTATTTTGTTAGGTAGTCCATACTAGAGGTAGTCGAGATCTTTGTGTAATATGATATTAAATCTCTGAGGCCGCCAAAATTAAATGATTAACTATTTTTATTTGTTTTAATTCTTGGGAATGCTTGAGAACAAGCAATAATTCAAGTTTAGAGGTATTTGATATGCTTATATTTTACTTATTTTTTATATCCCTAATTTGTGATTTTTGCAATATATTTTGAGTACAAATATGCTATTTATATGATTTTATCTTTATTTGTAGGTTTTGTACTCAAATGGAAGAATTATTGAGGTTTTGGACTAAATTGAAAAGAAAAAGCAATTCAAAGGGAGAATTGAAGATTTGATAAATTGACAAGGAAGAAATTGAAGCACTTGAAGAGTTGGAGGAGTTTCAATTTAAATTGGCTTAAAAAAAAATAACTTTCTTATTCCTGAAGAAATAGGATTTGAGAAAAGCCTATAAAAAGAGGACTAGGATTTTATTTTTGGAGACAGAGAAAAAAAACCCACGCCCTTTCTCCACCTTTCCTCCAACCCCACGCCCCTTCACCCAAAACCCCTCTCCTCCTAGCCCATCTCCATCACCACTTGGGCATTATCACCCTCCTCTCTACCGGATCACCTCTCCTCCATCTCTCTCTCTCATCATCCCCTCCATTCTCACGCAGCACACCACCCATCACCATCACTCCGCCGACCTCCAACTCGGACAACACCAAAACATCACCTTCCACCTTAATCACCATCCATCACCATCATCCAAGTCTAATCACCGAACCACACACCTCACCATTTACCCCATCAGCCTTACACCAATCAAATCCTTTCTCCACGCATCAAAACAACCCCGCCGGCCTCCATCAGCCACCAGCACCATCATCATCCTTACGCATCATCATCGGAGGAGGAAGCATTGAATCAAATTCCGGACTCAATTTTTGGCCTATTTCTCCCGGGTTTCATTATTTTATTTATTTTTGAGATGATGTGTAGCTAAATTATTTAATCTAGGATTTTAGATGTAGCCGCCGTACTATTTAATTTAATTTAATTCATGATTGTGACTTTTTCATTAGTTGATATTTAATATTCTTGTTTTTATTCCATGTGAGTATTTGATCACCACTAGCATGCTTTAAAGGTGTTTAACTGAAGGAACGACGGTTGAAGGTTAGTACTAGTTCATGGGAATATTAAACTTAGATAGTGAGCCACGAAAGTAGGAACACCGTTTTTGCAGCTATAGATTCTAGGGTTCTTAATGTACTATAATTAAATCCTATAGTCACGACAGTAGTCGTAGGGTTAGTTTGAGTAAGAGAATTATATCACGACAGTGAATAGTTCTTAAATAGGTGAATCGTTGTGAGATTAATGAAAGTCCAAAGTCACATATCTATAGATTAAATTAAACTGAATAGTCGGTTGGTGAACCCTTTTCCCTAGGTTTTTTTTTTATTTGATTAATTATATTTAACTATTAATTTTAAGTTTAGTTTAATTTAAAATCATTATTATTAGTTTTCTAAATAATAATAAGAAATAATTTTAACCGGTACTTGGTAACCTTCTCTGTGGGATCGACCCTGCTTTCTGCTTTACTACTAGTACTTGTACTAAGTAGATAATTAATATTTGACTAGTGTGACGACGACTTATCACCGTCCTGTGTGTGTTATATCCGATCGGCACAAGGGTATCATCAGTGCAATATGCCTAATACCCGGCAACTCCCCCAGCATCGTGGCCGCTTTGAATCCTCCCCGGCGACTCCCCCCTGCACCGGCGAATCCTCCCCGGCGACTCCCCCCTGCACCGGTGACTCCCCAGTACAAGGTTGGTTTTTTTTTTTTTCGAACGCTGATGGTTTGATTTTCTTTTTTTTGCTGGTATTTTGCTTATGAAATTTGATAGTATTGGTATTGATAAATGTTGTAGTATTGGTTTATGAAATTTGTAGTATTGATAAATGTTGTATGAAATTTGATAGTATTGGTTTAATTTTCTTTTTTTTTTTCAGTTGTATTTTGCTATTTAATTTTGCTGTTTAGAGTTCTTTAATATGCATGTTGATAGTATTGGTATTGATAAATGTTGTAGTATTGGTTTATGAAATTTGTAGTATATAAATGTTGTATGAAATTTGATAGTATTGGTTTAATTTTCTTTTCTTCAGTTGTATTTTGCTGTTTAATGTTGATGTTTAGAGTTCTTTAATATGCATGTTGATAGTATTGGTATTTCTAAATGTTGTAGGATTAAAAAATGGAGGGTTCGAGCTTCTCGCGACCTACATTGCAACATTTTAATCCGGCTCCAATAGATGACTCCTTGTTATACCTTTATGACCATCATAGGGCGAAAGCCATTTTCGAGAACCATGAGGCGTTCAGTAAAGCCCTTAAAGGTAGGAGATTTGATAGTCATTTTTGGACGTTTATAGAGAAACCTAGTAAACATTGCCCTTCACAAGTTATAGAAGAGATAAAGCGGGCAGGATTTGGGGGGGTGATCCAACTAGGTTATATCCAAGCGGACAATTGTTTGATTACCGCAATGGTTGAGAGGTGGCGGCCTGAAACCCATACCTTTCATTTTCATTTTGGCGAGGCTACTATCACTCTAGAAGATGTTGAGGTGTTATTAGGTTTGAAAGTGGATGGTAAGTCTGTGGAGGGGATGACACTTGAGAATTCTATGGCACAGTGGATGGCGATGTGCTTTAAATTGTTGGGAATTACACCCGTTAGTGATTTCTTTGATGGGTATAAGATTTATGCAGAGTGTTTAATCAACGAGTGTTAATTTCTGATTCCAGAAAATGCTCCAAGAGAGGCCTATACACAGAGGGCCCCTGCCTTACTTTTACTACTGATTGGAGGTTTCTTGATTCCTAACAATACTGGAAACAGAATACCACTTTAGATCCTGACAATACTAGAGGATTTGGATGTCTGTGCTACCTACAGTTCGGGGTCAGCTTTGTTGGCGAAGTTGTACTTTGGTTTGTGTCAAGCTTCCGCGCCCGGGAAGAAAGACATTACCGGATGCTATATGCTGATGCAGGTAAATTTTTTTTTTGTTTATTTATATTTTTTATTATATTTCTGTTTGTTATTCTAATTTATGCCTTTTCTGTTTCATTTAAAATTTCAGTTATGGGTTTGGGAGTATATCCCAAGACTTCAACCAAAGAGGAAAGTTAAAAATCAGAGTTACTTGGTGCCGGACGCTTCACTAGGCAATAGATAATTATATATTTATTTTATTATTTTTTATTTCCTATTATATCTTAAAACAATGATTTTTTAACTAGAATTCCTTTGCCCAAAATCCAAAGCGAACATCACCGCTCATTGTGTTGCTGGCATCAGGGATCAGTTATCTAGTCTAAGGGATGGTGATGTAAGTATTGATTTTTATTACTCGATAAAATTCTTTTTTATTTTTTTCTCTATTTTTTTTTTACCAATTTTTTTATTTTGGCCAGTTTCTATGAACTCCATACACTCCCTTCATCGACGCTCTCCCTGATTTCTGTAAAGCGGGGGTTCATATCTACCTCTGTAGGACGTGGATCTTTTGTTGGGCCATCAGAGAACCATACGAGCACAATCGGGTCCTTCATCAATTTCAATGTAAGAAAAGTGT